TCACTTCACCCACTGCCTCTTCTAAAATTGAATTGAAAATAAGTGGTGATAGAGCATCTCCCTCCTCAAGACCCTTAGTTAAATTGAAGGGCTTAGAGAGCTGATTCTTAGCCTGGCTGTGCTGGTATTAACGCATATTTTGGTTATACGAGTATTGATGAGCTTCCTTGGAACCGATATACTAATTGCGAGATCGTGGAATCTAACCCTGCCTAAAATTTTTTGTGGGTTTTAAAATTTTCTTCGGATGGTTAATAACTTAATACTTTCCTAGGTTATTGGTGAAACTGAGTCGCAGTTGTGTAAAAAGGTTACCGAAAACTTCATTCTAGGAACATAGAAGCTGTGCAGAGTAAGTTTTATAAAACTCAGCGACCAGTCCTCGACATTCAGATAATATTAAAAAAACTATGATATCTTTCCGATATTATTGATTTAACAAAATCCCGAATTACATATTGGGACACCTATTAGTTTTGTTAATCTTTCGAGTGACTAAGAGTCCAGCAGTGATTCAGCATGGTATCTTTGGTATCGTGGATAAAAAGTGTTTGTTACTATGAATAAGTGTTATACAGACAAGCACTGTATATGTTTGTTCATCTTGCAGTCCAGATCAAAAGTCTTCATTCCACATTTAGTTGGTACTATCCATCTCATAGAGAGCTTTGATCAGCAATCAAAGATGAACAAAATGATAAATTTAAAGCTATTCCCATCAAAGGACTAATAAAGCTGCCAACCCAGTACATTTGTCTCATGCTTTGTGGCAATCATCAGCACTGTGTAGGCTTACGATAGTAAAGAAAAGTATCGTCTATCGGGGCATAACGTCTATGAAAATACGAATATTGAAGTACTAGCTATTACCAGAATCGACAACTGCGAGAGGTATCTGTTGTAACTATAAAGGTATCTCAGTTAGCGTTGATAGCCGTCCAAAACTTCTCATGTATCACATAAATACCACCAGGTTTTGAACTGTCAAGAAAGTCGTGAACACGTCTCAATATAGTTCGCACAAATCATGGCATATGTGCAGATTTCTTGAACAAGTGCGTAAGCTTACCATCTCCTATGTGCGACTGTGGAGCTGCCTGATAGACGGTACAGCATATAGTGGAAGAGTGCCCATTTGTTACCCTATGGTTTATGTCTTCGTCCTTTTAACAATTTTATGTTATTATTTGTTTTTAATACTGAAACTTTGAGATGTGTATTTTGATGCCATGCTATAAATAAAATAAGTCGCCAGAACCGAAGGCGCCAAGCGGTCACAATTATCGGACGGCTATCAATGCAAACTGAGATACCTTTGTAGTTCCTATGGACTCTTGCAGTGGTCGATCCTTTCCTAGTAAGGAATTTCCTGAAGCTACCAACAGTTCTGTACTGGACTATCAGTCAATGAACAGTTGCACTCCGTCGTCCTCCGATGCGTTGTCCAGCGACCTTTCCATACGAGTTATGCGGATAATAAGATAAAAATCATCGATCCAGCAGGCGTAGAGAACGGACGCAGGACGCATCTTTTCGCATTAATAAATTCTTTTCGGTTTGCAGGCCTGCCAGGCTGCGAGCTGCGAGGCTCGCTTGCAAGACATTTAAATAAACATTCGAGCACTCAAGCAGCAAGGCAATACCTAACTGATTCCAATGCTATTCAGAATCACGCTTATACATCATACGATACAAAATGTACTCAATCGTAACATGTTGAAGAAATTTCATAGACTTCTGCCCAAAAATAGATCACAGGGAGGTAAAGTATTGCAAACTGTAATCATTCAATTTTTCTCCTCTTCCAAATTGGACGTCGTTTTGCATGAATGTATCCTGAATTATTTCCTCCTTATCGTGTGTTTCCATTCCAGTCCAAGTCAGTGGTTATTGTCGACCTATAAGCTTAATGATATTCACGCTCCTTCAACTATAGACAGCAACGCTATGAAAGAAGAGGGATTCGATGTGACGTATCAAGAGCCCAGCAGCATAACGTATCCTAATTAGTCATCAGATGAACCGATAAAAGTGGGAGCACATAGAGCGATGTTGAACGGCCATGGGTGTAGATGCAGACATATAGGGCAAATATAGATTGAGGTTGCTTCAAAGAAGATCATAAATATAACAATAAAACAATAACAAGCAAGAAGATTACAATGGAGACTAATCAAATATTTTGAACCTTCAGACTTCGCGTCTGAAGGGAAGATGAATACAGAACCATTGACTGTCTAATGAAATTACTAATTTTTCTAACAAGACTGGGGACCAAGGACTCTTGCAATCTGTCCCGAACAATGGACAAGAAATTGACAACCCGAGCGACGTACGTTTCTACTTATTGGTTTCATCAGGCCCAAGTGTATGTGCATCAAAAATATCGAAGTGATAACATATGCTCATCATATCTGGATACGGGGCTGATGATACCAGATAGCAGAATTGTACATCGCTAGGGTAACCAATCCTTCAATTTTTGCCTCTGTTCCTTTAGTCTGCAAGACTACTCGTCCTTCTTTGTATTTGCCAATGGGCTTGAAGTACCACGGCAGCTGGCCTCCGTGGCGACGTTGGTTGATACCTCGTAAACGCAAGCTCAAATGTACCTGCTGGTTCTGGTTGGTGGTTTCTAATTGTACTTTCCTGAATCCAGATGTGATGGGCAAATATTTTCCCTTCGGTGTTTTGATGCACATCGATTTGTGCCTGATGAATCCAATACACAGAAGCGTATGTCGCTCGGGTTGCCTAACCTCCTTTTTCTGATCATATTTCTTTATTGCGGACATGCCCATGATTGTCCATTGTTTTTTATCTAAGTTTCTGTAAGACTTCTTGTCCTTCTTTATCTGCCCTCAACCAAAAACGGGATTGAGCTGACGCCCAGAGCAACTGGCTACACAGGACGTTGGCGAAAGCTAGACTCAGACGTCAAGAAGTTTTTAACAGATCAAAAGTATAGAGTCATTCAATCACCTGAATTAGATTCTACGGACACCTCTTTGGAACACGAGGTCTCCTTTCTCATTTCTTTGGACCTTTTGGAGCTCCTTGAATTTCCTCAAATTTCCTTGATAGCCTCGGATATATTTGTATTTCCACCAGATCGACAAGAATTCAGCAAATTAGATTTTGACAGAAATATGCCGCCTTGCGTATGCATAGTTCTATGAAGCTCCCTTGGAATTCCACGAATTGTTACGGCTCCTCTTGGAATGTCATAGATCTCATTGGATCACCTAGAGTCCCATCGAGTTACTCTAGATCTGTTTGAGCTGCCAGCTACTTAAAGTACGACAGAAAATCTCCTTCCGAGGCCTTAGATCCCCACCCATTGGAATAGATCGTTTTCTTGGATAGCATTGGATCTCCTTCAATTTCCTCTGATCTCTTCAGATTACCTTGGACCTCCTTGAATTTGTCTTGGAACTTAGGATCTCCGTGGATTACTTAGTATCTCCCTTACTGATATAGTTCTATTCAGAACCGATAACAGATTTAAGGGATCCAAGTGTCGATTTCTGAAAGCAGACCTTTGTTCATTTATAATAACCAATTACCTCTCATTTTCCTTGATGGGTTACAACAAACCAATAACTAGGTCCTCAGTTGGTCGCTTTCTAGATGAAAAAATGGAGTCAAGTAGGTTGACTCTGTACTTCCCACGCAACGTCGTTAGCAGTTCATAAAGGATTATGTTCAGCGTAAACTAGACTCTAAGAAAAAAATCAGTCAAACAGGTCCATATAATACGTGTGTTACCATACCAGAAAACAAAACACACACACAGCGGTAGGTACGCTATCCATAAGCCGATATTATTTTCTGTTTTAGGGGCTAATTGTATAGAGAAATATGTGATGTGTGAAATATGCCTAATAGGTGCAGAGAATTATCAAAGTTGGAAGCGTGAAGTCTACGAACGTCTAAAAATTATCTACAAAAATGTCATCGAAATCCGAGCGGTACTGCTCAAGTTATAGGTCGTTATAAGATCAGCCGACAGACCAACAGACAGTCAGATAGACCGACGAAAAAGAGTGACATGGTTTTTCGTGGTGTACATGTCATATAACATCCAAAAAACAATGAGTTCTGAAAATTTTCTTGAATGCAGTACTTTCCCGATAGTAGGCGTGGGAAGTAAAATGTGCAATATTGAGCTCTTGGAAGATATAAATGATGTTCATACTATGGCCTTGTGAAACAAGTGGCTGCGCCTATGGTAGCGAGTGATGTCTCTCGGAAAGGTATCAAGTCGGATGTCACTCGCCGTGGCCGATATATATCTTCGCCTGTCAGACAATAGGCTGGAATCAGAGATTGAGATCGATAAAAACAGTCGTCGAATTCCACGGCAAGGGTTACCCTTACGGATTTCGATACACGACAACGAGAAGCGAAAAAAGGATTTTTTGTGGTGTCTTCAACCGTACGGGCATCCGAGTTTGTTTTGTTCTGGCCTTTCAATTACGCTTTCGAGAACAGCTTGATGTATCTCAGTTGTTGCTGGGTTTGGCTCGACTCGATTTATAGCGCTTTATGAGACACGGCATTTTATTGAAGCTCATTTTACAGGGTCACCATTACCCTTCGGGTTACATTTCGCATTAAGGAAGCTTTAGTTTCCAAGGTCATAGTCTTTAGATACTATTCTACTTGATGATAAAACTGGTAATACAACTCAAGTTGTCTTTTCTCTAAAAAAATTGCCACAAGATCATAAGCCTCAACTAACTCCTGAACTTGATTCAATAATCCATATTTTTGTTCATCTTCGTACAACTACAATTCTGGAATGCTGCAACAAGATCACGCAAAAATGATATACCGCTGATTTGTAATATTGGCCTTGTGTATGTCTCGGCAAGTTCCAAAAAACTTGTCCTAGATTACAGACAAATCATTATTGATATTTTCATTTTTTCCTGCATCTTTGTTTACAAAGAATGACTGGACTTCATTGGTTCATTGGCAATATTTGTTTGTTTCAGACACAAGGGAGACTGGATTCGTAAATGCCATATTAGCTGCTGGAATAACGTTCCAGGTAACCAGAGCATGTACCAGAGGGGAGCAAATAGGATGCTCGTGTGCAAAGAAGAAAAAACGAAAATCAAAGAAGAAAGGTAATAATAAAGCATTGTGAAAGAAATTAACTTGAAATGTATATCCAAGACTATCAAATCAAGTTTTATGGATCACTGTGATAACTCGTTCCACATTCGGTAACCCCAACTTTTAATAATTTTCTAAACCATTAAAGTCTTTCAATACTTCCATAAGAGTAGATTTTGGGTTTTGAACTAGGTTTTTTCACTTCAGACCCTCCTTTGCCTGAAGGCGACTGGCAATGGGACGGATGCGGTGAGAATGTGGAGTTTGGAATCAAAAGAAGCAAGGACTTCTTAGATACTAGGTATAAGAAGAGGAGTGATATGAAGACATTAGTGAAACTACACAATTATGGAGCAGGAAGACTGGTAAGACATTAAATGCTATTACACAGAGTATTTCTGGAAAAGTCCTTCTTTACCAAAATACAAGAAACCCAATACCTCAAAGACGCGGTTCACGTTACAATTTCCTTTCACTTCTTCAGTTAGGTCATACATACATATATCTAAATTTGAGAATCTCAAAATTTCAAGTAAGCCCTTCTATTCAAAAACACTCATTTGCAATTATTCTCCGATTGTATTTTCCTCGATGTGCCAACAAATCGCTATTGTACGAAATAATGCGAACCTGAGCGGCACAGGATGGACACTTTGAAGATATTGATTTGAATATACTTGCAAAGTGTCAGCAGTATCTTGAAGGCTCTCACCGTAAAGTACCATCAAGTCCAAGATGCTGCTATGGAAATGTACCATTTCGATTTTCAAATCAGATTCAAACAGGTCGGTTTACCTACATGGCGCCTAGATAGGATACTGACGCACGTCCTGTTTAATCTTTTGCTGGAGGCAATTTTTTTTGGAACCTCATAATACGAATGTATTGGCTTTGGTGTGTGTTGACCTACTAGGATAATTTGGTTATTTCTACAAGAACTATAACGTCGTTGTTGTGATGAAATCTCCTATGTAACAATTTTTCCACATCGGAGCTTTCTGCATATCTGGATAGTCAAACATGAACTCCGTGATCTGATGTACAATAGTTTCATAATAAGAAACTTTAGTAATTCTGTAGAAATGTACTAAAAATTGTTGTGAATGGATGCGAAACTAATTTTTTGAACATAAAAGATTTTTTGCTATTCTGTAAAACTGCTTCTGAAAACATATGACTTTTTATCAAAACAATGACGATAAGCTGTGTAGAGTTCTTGGATATCGGACTATGTTCTGGCGATATGGTCTGGTACACCACTGTGCCCAGGGATTCCCAAGTGCTAAACTTTTAAGAACAATTTTGAAGAACAGCTATACCCTATCCGTAGCCCATTTACGCCCCGGTACAACAAAGATGCAGCGCGGCAAAGCGGCAGCTGCCAAAGCGTTGCAACAGCTATTGGTCATTCGGCCATGAAACTACGAACAAATGCAGGATTCGACAGGATAGAACTCAGGCTCGGGGTATCACCGGCACGCCGACTCCGGCAGTTGATGTTCATATTTGGTGCATACATAGCGTGTTTATACGTTAGCATGTCATCTATGGATACGGTAGATGAAATTGAGAATATTTCTCCCAATGCTTCCTGCAGCTAAGCTTCCTCTTCAGGCAAAAGAAGAAGAATGAAAATTCATGATATTGAAAGACGTGTGGCGAATACAACAGGCGTGTGTTCTAAGACAATTTCGATGAACAGCCTAGAGACTATTTTATGGAGAAGAAACTATTTAAAATCAATAAAGAAATACCGCAACCAGGGTGGGAAGATTTATTACTTGGATGAAACCTGGATAAATGCAGGACATACAAAAACTAAAGTGTGGGCTGACCCTACAGTTAAATCAGCAAGACAAATCTTCTTAGATGGACTAACTAACCACTGGCCCAATGAATCCATCAGGTGCGTGTATCTAACCAATTCGTCGTTTGTGTTGTAAAAATGATGTCAAGTAGACGGAATAAGCCCACGCTGAAAACTTAGCTACACTAAGCTTAACTACATCTGGTAGATTGGGAACCAACACGTGACACGTGTTAGATTCTCTGCCTGTATTATTATTAGTTTTCTTGAATACTATATGAAATAATTATTTCCAGGAAAAGGAAAACGATTTGTTATCTGTTACATTGGCAGTGAAGATGACTATGTGCTCACTATCCTAAGGGCATTTGAGTCAAAGAAAATGACCGACTACCATGAAGAAATGGACGGAAGTTCATTTGGACGATAGTTTGAAGAAACGCTCCCAAAGCTTGACGGCAATATCATCATTGTACTTGATAATGCTGCATACCATACTAGAAACCTAGAAAAAATTCCCACAATGTCCACAAGAAAGACAGAAGTTTAACCATGGCTCCTATTAAAAGACATTAGTTTCAATGAAAATATGGTCAAAGCTAGTTAGGCAGCATAAATATAAATATAATCTTAATGTTATTGACGAAATGGCTAAAAACCAAAACCAAAATAAGACCGTTTAAAGGCTGCTCCTTTATCATTGCGAATTCAATTCCATTGAAATGATTTGGGCAAATATAATAAACCTCAAAAATAGAACATTAAAACTTTCTGACGTGAAAAATTTGTTTTATGAAGCTGTCAACAGAGTGATTTCAAACCATTGGAAAGATTGCATCCGTTCAAGAGACAATCGAAACAAAGATGTGGAATCTAGACAATATGATCGATATTCAAATTGAACGATGATTCAAGTACTTTCAGCGAATGAAGAATTGTGAAAAGTATGTGCACTCTTTTCTATAAAAAATCATTTATTTCGTTAGATTATTCCAAGACCATTGAGAAAAGTATGGACCTGTACAATCTCGGTTATGGACATGTTGTGTTTTGTCTTGGAGTAAATGGACTACGAATGGGGTAGATTCGCCTAGGTAAGAATTAATGAATATCATTTGTTTCAGGCAATAAAAAACAACATGCGCACCGTCTGCAAATGCCATGGTCTCTCAGGCTCCTGCACCCTAAAGACCTGCACCAGAAAAATGCCTTCGTTTCGGGAGATTGGCAACAAATTGAAAGAACGCTTTGACGGTGCTGCAAAGGTCATTGCAGGCAATGATGGTCAAAGCTTCATCCCTGAAGGTGAAACTATCAAATCACCAGGCAAAGTGGACTTAGTCTACTCCGAGGAATCTCCATCTTTCTGCCTTCCGAACCCCGCGCTTGGATCGTTCGGAACCCAAGGAAGGGTGTGTAATGACACTTCGCAGGGGGAGGAGGGGTGTGGGATATTGTGCTGTGGAAGGGGATACGATGTTCGATATGAAATGGTGCGGACAAACTGCAACTGCACCTTCCACTATTGCTGTGAGGTGAAGTGTGAGACTTGCATTGTGCCTACTAGGATCAGTACGTGTTTGTGATTGGTCGCATATCATTTACTAGTGACAGAGATGCAGTGGCAAATCCAAAAGTTATCCTTTTGGGGAAAAAAACTTGTCTATATAGTTTGGAGATATTGAATTTTCGCTTTTGGTAAGGAATACTTTTTCAGTTCACTCCTCTGGATCTGCCACTGTCAGAATGTCAAGCCAAACGTAAATTGTAGAGAAAGAAATGGGTGATACCGTAATATACATATACGGATGAAAGATTTTATAACGTCTTTGGTGCCTTGTTTAGTGAAATTAAGGTGCATTTGAAGGAAAATATATTTTATTTCTGTATTTTTTAATTTTTCTAAATTTCAATAATTTTGGACATGGTTTTGGTAAATCAGTTACAAGGTTGTTAACCTAAAGATAGCAATTAATAGTGGTTTTGATGGTGTCTTGTAGGTTTCCGACATTCTAAAAAATTTTCATATAAAACAAAAAAAAGCAGCAGGATTCTTATAGATTTGTGTTCGAATTAACCCTGCATGAGTTGATACTGAGTTGTTATGGGTAAGAATAAGCTTGTGAAGTGTGTGAAGAGCATGAATAAAAGATATGCGTAGACACTTTGGAAAACAAGACTGTTGTTCTACATCGATACAAAATTCTGCCAATTGTAGAAACTTTTATAGAATGACACAACAGAGACTTGTTTTGGAATGTGCCATATTTTGTTCAAATGAATGAATGAAATGAAGAAAGAGATGGAAGAGAAGGTAATTAATTCATTTTGTTTTGCTTTGTAGAACTGTTTGAAATATCTGGCTACTATTTAGCATTAGTTAGCCACTAATACGTCAGTATTGTAATTTTGTCGACTAACTGTAAGATTCCAATTTTTGAGATAGGTTATCCAATAAATTGTTTACTCAGCAAATTCCTGGTTTCATTTTCTCGTAGATACCTAAATACGTACAAATGATTTTCGGTAGCCTTAGGCTCGTATCGTCAGTCGTCCCTACAATTATAGGGTGCGTTTATGGCCTCCTTGATTGTGACACTATTTTCATTCCTTCAAAAATTTCTAGATTACACTCGCCCCATATCAGCGTCAGCGCTCTCCTATTGTTAAGATATGTTTTCCTTTTAAATTGTAGGAAATTTCAGGCTGATAAAACATGATATAACTCAAAATCAAGCACAATTTGATGCAAATAGATGTTTGTGACATAACCTCAAAATAGAGCTCTGACACGGAGAAGTAGAAAACTATGACAACCAAGGAGGCCATAAACGCGCCCTACAATTGTCGGGACGACTGACGATACGGGCCTTAGAACTGAAAGTGAAACTTCGGCTGCATAATTTACGCCTATTGGAAGGTGCCGGCAAGCTCCTGAACAATTAACTCGTTTAGATTGCCAAAGATGGACTAGACTTAATGCTTTCGCAGTTTTTCTTTAATTGAATTATGTTTTTGGAAAACTTGATCCTTTGGCTCGAAGAAATGAACTGACATTCTAAACCCCCTTAAATTATAACTGAATCACAAATCATTATGGATTCAAAAACTGAGATAAATCAGCAGGTGATCGCGGTTGGCAATGCATAAACTAAAATCATAAAAAACTGGACCAATAAATTTGTTTTGCGGTGGAAATATTTATGCGCCTAACTGTTCGTGAATTATAATCTGAGCCATAAACGTTGGCGAGATGCCACTGTTTTTAAGAAAAAAATCAAATGAGCAGCCTGGACTGCGTGGTGGCCATCTTCAGAAGTGGGGGAAGCCATTAAAAATGAATTACCAAACGGCCGTCGTCTGCGGTAAACGAAATTCCGTAGATCTACCGCACACAAAATAAAAACTCAATTTTTATTGAACGGACCACGATCGGTGCGCCAAGCCATCACATAACTTAATTCACTTGACAAACTCACTGATAATTATAAATAGTGCAGTCGACTTAGGCACAAAATTCACTTCAGACATGGATTCATCCGAATGTAGGTTGATACATCCGTAGTTCCATTATAGCTCATATGTCTTCTGAAACAAAAAATCCAGAAATACAAAAGAGAAGGTCTGTTTTCGATCGTTAAATATTTGCTAATGCCATGAAAAGTACAACCAGGAAGGTGCATGTAGGGTTTTACAAAATGAGATATATCTGAATGTGCCTTCGCTGACGATCTGTTAAAAAGAAATTTGAAAATGAACACCACTAAAATGACAGTAATGACTACTACAAAAGGAAAATAACTTAAAATAATCTCTAAAGGAAATATAGATCAAGTACAGACTTTCAGATACCTAGATATCCAAATACAGGAGGACGGAACAATGGATGAAGAAATAAGAGAAAATTACTAAAAGCAACGAACTTGTATCTCAGCATAAGGAGATCATTCACATAAAAAGAGAGATAAGTAGAAAAATCAAGATGACTGTACATAAAACCATTTTCAGATCTATTCTGACTTTTGGAAGTGAAAGATGAGTATTGAACGATCGACAAAAAAGCAGAATACCAGCACTAGACATTAATGTATAATGTGTTAGTTCTTAAGATCGGTAGAAGGGACCAGGAGGGACAGCATTAGGGACGAGATTATAAGAAGGGAGTTAGGAGTCAGATCCGTCTTAGAAAGATTAGAGAAAACCAGTTAAAGTAGTTTGGGAACTTAATACACATGGGACAGATTAGACCGGTCGAGAGGATACGGGGAGCTAAGGTTATGAAGAAAAGAATTGAAGGGAGACCAAGGAAGACCCGGAACGATGTAGCTGCATCGATACTGAAGAACAGAGGACTTAGTTGGACAGAAGATGTTCGACAGACCATGGACAAAAATACATGGACAAAATTGGTGCACAATGTTTCACAACAATGTAAACTCTAAATGTACAGTCTGTTACATCTAACACCTTCGGGTATATAAGGTCACAGATTATACCTGTATGTATATAAATATAGGCTTTCCTGCCCGTTACAAAATATCAACGCGGCTGTTCTAGGGGATCCACTCAAGCTCCAACATTTATTCTGTTATGCATTTACAACATGATATACTAGACCCGCAGTTTCGCAGGTAGTCACAGATATTCAAAGTGATAGAGTGATTTCTGTAAAACACCGACGATGCACACGTTTTTGTAATTTGATTGTAAAAAGACACAGTTGTGTATGTCAACCAACAATAGTCGATCAAGCATACATCTGGTTTTGATGGATATCAAACTTTACCATTAGGTTATCAATCACCGAGGACAAAGGACAAAGCTTATACGCTCCACCAATAGCGTCATCTGTTGTGAGGTCACTGGTATATATATATATATATTTGTTTAGGGCTAGTAGTACTCGTGAAGAGATAACTAGCTCCAGTTTGACCCTTATCGCTGACCCCTTTGTATCAACCCACTCTAATTATTTACTCGAAACCAGATTTAGATAATTCAGTTCGACGATGTGATATACTTACTTCATCTTGCACCTATTCAACATGCTATTACTCGGTGACAAAAATCCCCAGAGACGGTTGACAAACCTTCAGTTTTATATGGCGCCTTATAGAGAAATTTGTGTTTAGTTTCGTTTGTTTGTTATCTGGTGTGTCTCAAATTAGTTGGATTAAACATTTCATTATGGAATACTGTGCACTGGCGGGTTGTTCAAGCAACAGCATCAAGAAAAGCAAAGACGTTTCAACTCGGCGTTTCTTCAGTTTTTCGAAGAGCAACCAAATCTACAGATGTGTTCAAAGCAGTTTGTAGAAAGTAACTACTATTCAAAAGAAAAAGGTATGGGATTACCTCAAAGAATTCGGGAAGAGCAAAATGATGAAAATTGTAAAATACACTCAATAAAACTGCTTACCAATACAAAATACTTTTATTAATATCTGCCCATAAAAAATATTAAAAAATCATTTACACAGAACGTCTTATACAAAATTATAAAAATGTGTTATATAGTGTATCCTGCTCTCCATCCTTTCCTGCATAAGAAGTTAATATGACAAGTTATTATAAATGTCACTGATGAACAAATCAATGTATTATTTAAAACCAACCTTCTTCAAGGAAAAAGTAAATCGCTTTTCTTTGGAGCTCTGAAGGTATTTCAGCTTGAAGAGCTATAAGTGCATTTTCAATGATTAAGTCTCAAGTTATTTAGAACCTTTCAACTTTTCTATTGTTAATTGCAATATAAAAACATTAAAATATAAGTGATGCATTTCATATGATACTATAATTGTCATGCAACATAAAAAAATATTGGGCACTAGTCCAAATATTCGAAAGAAAACGCTCTAATAAAATGCAGTTCATACCGACGAGCGGAACATTTGTCACCGAGTGACTTTATGCGAAAGAAGTACCAAATTGGATAGCAAAGTGATCATATCTTCTCGAGTTATAGTATCGCACGGATTCGACCTACTAGCATTTTATATGTGGTGGTAGGAGATCCCGATGCTCTGTTTTTGGAACTAATTTAGTTTTAGCCACCTAGCCTCTTGATTGTTCCAGGCTCAGATAAAACCTAACCTTGATTAGTATTCACGTCTCAAGTATTGCTACTTTCACCATACTGCCCTTACTGGATGTTATTCAGACAGATCTATGACATGTCCTGAATGGTCAATTGATACAGTATTTCTAGAGGATGTGGTATAATGTCTTTGGTAACGGGGTCAGGCCGAATGCTTTATAGTCAAGGGCGGATTCAGGATTTCGTCTAGGGGGGCGGCGCAAACGATATTTGGGGCTGGTCATTTTTTAACCTCAGTGGAACTTCTAAAATGTATCCTATTATTGCTCCTTAAATCCATTGTGTTCTATCTGGTCAAAGCCAGCTTGTTAAAAAGAAACATGGAAATTGCTCAGAAATCCTCAGAAAGCCAATAATTTATTATATGAGAACAAAATAAGTACGTGGCATTTGTAATTAACTAGGGTAATAATATGAAAGATTCAAACATAAAAGACTTCATTTCTCTGTTAACCGACAAAAAATAGATAAAACATATCCCAGTCGACACAAAACAATGTCTTTGATTGCGAAAACGAACATGAGACCAAAAAATTCACATTATCGTATGGACGCTAGACAAGACAAAGAAGGATGTCTGTAGTCCCTCTAAAGATCGTGTCCTGAGACTCTGCCCTTTAAACAAATCAAGTAAATGGTGCAAATACTGACACAATCAAGCACTTCTATCATATCAGCAATATGACATGTATTCCTCCATTCCGATGTGGATGTAGATGTAGTGAGTTTAAGCTGAAACAGCGGGTTCTGACCGAAACCTAACCTCCACAGCACAGTGGTCTGAGTTACCCAGGGGAGGCAGGGGGGACAAATAAAGTAGGGCCCGTCACCAGCTGGGTCAGCACTTGAGTAAGAGCGAACGTTTAACTGCACGACCTGCTGCATCGGTCAAAGTTTGAGCCCAACCAAAGCAAATTATGGTCATTGAAATCAACGACGAGAACTACCTTTGAAGCGGAGTGATTATTGATGTTCAGGAAATCCATCTTGACGGCGAGATATTCAAGACGGTCGTCCCAGTTATGGTCCTAGGGGAGTGATAAAGGCAAAATTTGGGGGATGTTTTGGAGTTGAGGCGAAGCCACAGAATGTCCTTCCGGTCTGATGCCAGCGAAACATCTCTGCAGCAGGAAAGACTGCTGCGGACAAAGGCCACAACTCCTCCATTCTCTCTCAGATTGGTGTGCACCTCGTAATTTGGTAAGCTAAGATGGTTAATCGGTGCGGACTCTGAGATTCTTGTCTCCGCCAAGAAAAGCATGGCGGGACGATTGGATTGCAAGTAGTGATGAACAGCATCAATGTTGCTGTTAATCCCGCAGATGTTCGTGAAACAAATTTTATCGTCGACGTTATTCCCTCAAGTCCACCCTCCACG